TTAAAAGATTTGTTATTTATTAAACATTTCACGTTAATATTTAAAATATTTTAATTATTATTTAATTATATTTAACATTTTAAATTTAAGATTATTAAATATTAAATATTTGAAATATTACATAGAAAAAGTAATATGAAATATTTAGTAAAATATTTCACGGTTGCACATGTTATGTCCCCATATTTCATTAGATTTGAAAAGTGTAAAGAGATAAAATAAATAGTACTATACACATCTCGTGATCCCAAATGTAGATCTAGCTAGCTAGCACATGAAATGTAGACGTACAGGGACATATAGACGGTGTCAAGCCCCACATGTGCTCCCTCCTTACTTGGTTACTTCATCTCAGCCACCTTCCAAATGGAAAGGGACAAAGATAGGTGGCCTTTTTATATTTCCTTTTATTATAATTTTAGAATATTTATCATAAAAATAGTAAGTTTTAGCTGAAGATATTTTTGCTTTCTTTCAAAACAAAATATAATAAAATTTCCTATACTCCGTCCATGTATAAAGAAAAAGTCTAAAGATTATTGGAATCAAATTAAAATTAATGAACACATAATGCAAGTATAGATGTGGCAGTAGTGAAATTTGATCAATTCTGGTAACATATGCCTTAGAAACATTTACAATGATAATGCTAAGATCTTTAGGAGGTAACAAGTTAGACATAAGAGTGGGATTGCCAACTAATAATCAGAAGTATCAGAAACTAAAATCCATATCCCATATTGTGAGCTAAACAAAATCGTAGGTTTACCAAAATAAATGAAGGTGACTGAATATGAAACTTATTGAACTACCATCATGTAAAACAAACTAAAAAATAGATCAAACAATTATTGAAAACATAGCAAATAATACACTTGAGATTGTTAGTGCATTTGATAAAAATTTAAGATTGTAACGTTAGAGTTCAAATCTCATTGGAATCAGGTAAAGATTCGAACATGCAACTCCAATTTTGTCGCTGCATTGCAGTTAATAGTTATAATCTATACTAATTTTTTAACCTAATGTATATATAATCATATTATTATTATTATTTAATTTATAAAGTTCATCATCTAAAATTTTGAGACCTTATTTTTTTTAAGTTCTAAACTATGAGTCTGACTTAGGGATGGTAATTGTATCAATCTTTAACGAGTATTTTCAAAAATCACCTATAATAAATAGGATAAAAATCTACAAAATAAATACGGATATGGATAAAAACAATTAATTATTCACAAAAATAAGTGGGTATAGATACATGTATGGATATTTTAATACTCACTCCATCCTATACCGGTACAATATATATTTATATATTTTTATTTTTATTATTATATACATATGTATGATTATTAATTTTATTAAATATATATCTATTAAACTTGTATGCATTTTCATAAAAGTCTTTGCTTATTTCTAAACTTAATAATAAAATTCTTGAATTTTTTTTAAATGTTGTTAAAATTTTAAAATGATATGATAAATTATAATTGATCGATATTTTTTTATTAGAAATACAGATGAATAGGTATGTGTATGATTACTAAGGTATCCATAGGATAAGGATATGGGTACAAATATTAGTGGCCCACGCGGGTATGAGTTCGAGTACGAAGAATTTTTCAAACTGCGGATATGGAGACGGGTACTATAATTACCCCAATGTTACCAGAAGTCTATCTCCGGGACACACATTTTTTTATTAAACTTTAGTTAATTTTGGAGATGCAGTTATGGGAGGGAATCAAAAATGTATTTCCAAAATTTATGCAGACAACAGCAGTAACAGAAAATAATTGTCAAAATTTATGCAGACAACAGCAGTAACAAAAAATAATTGTCATTGTTTCAATTGTTGAAAACTAAAAAATGACTACAATACAATATGCATCACACGAACACGCACATGTGCTCACACACACACACACACACACACACGTCTGAAGTCGATAAACTTACTAACCAAAATATTATCCAAATACAATCCAAAATCGATAACCAACATATTATCCAAACCAATACATCACAAGATATAGAAAAGTGAAGGCTACTTCGTATGGCAGACTCTGAGTCGGCCCGTGACTGTCCTTGCGTTCCTCTGCTGCCTCTTATACTGCAAAGTCTCTCGAGCTTCCTCCATTATGGCATCTAAAACACCATTAACCTCAGAGTCATCAGGAAACAATCCTCCATCAATACGTGCTTGTCCAATCTCCACGATACGACAATACTTAGGCAACACATCATGAGCATGATCAACCATAATCTGCTCCTCCACTTTGTCTATCCTCTCATAGTTTTAAAACCCCTATCTAATTAGAAGATACAACAGACACGTGACATCGTCCAGTGTGATCGCCATCTCACCATATGGTAGATGGAACAATGATGTCTCATGATACCATCTATCGACAAAAGCGTTAATCATATCATGATTAACGATAGTATATCCACAGAGGGTCAAATCTTTCAATCCTAAAAGCAGCAAGAGCTCCTGAAATCATGGCTCAGAGGGAGTTACCAGACGAGTGATCTTCCTCGCATGATTAATGATTTTTAGTGGATCATGTTCCTGCATACATGGTTTAACAAAATTAATTCAACCAAATAAAAATTAATAAAATAAACATTAAAAATTTAACAGTTAAATACAATATTTATGTCTCTGTCTCAGATATGTCTGGAAACATGGCTCGGGTATAGAGGTATCAATGATAAATCAGTAGGCCCTCCTCTAAAACCCTAAGGTTCTGCAGGTGTGGCCTCATCTACATGGGCCTCGGGTTCCGCCTCTGGTGCTGCCTGTGATTGAGACTGAGATGTAGGTCGTGGCTAGGAATGAGACTGAGATGCACCAGGCATCGAATGTGTGGCCTCAAGTGTCAGCTGGGAGTGTGATGTCTCTCCTGCATAAAATACCATATGTGAAGCAATCGTCTACGGGAAGATGGAGGCGGGAAGGGATGATCTGGAGAACCTTGCCTGTTGCGGGAGAAAGATGAAGTAGGCAGAAAAACGTGAACACCAGAGCCTGTAGCCGCATCTGCCACAACTTGCCAAGTGACAGAAGGAGTCTGAGATGCCTGACTTCTTTCCCTCTTGACTGAAGCATGATGTGCAAGCCTACTGTGTCTAATCTGTATGGTCTTTCAGACATAACTCCTATAAAAGTATGAAACAAACGTTACCAAAAATAATCATGTTAAAATATAGGAAAAATGCATACAGAGTAAAACCGAAGATACATTTTCGGGTTTATACGTAAACATTGAACAAAACCGGAAATGTATCTCCGGTACGACCTGCAACTTTTCTGCTTCGTCAATGGTGAAGCTCAGCCACTAGGACTTCAAAAAAAGTCATTGATCATAAAAACAACCATACTAAAACATTTATTCCTACTTACAAGCATGCAAACACTAAAAATAATTGAATTATCTAACCTAAAACACAATATCTAGGTTAAATTACATTAATTAAAAAATGCTCAAAAATAACTTACAATTTATGATTTTTGTTGGTTGATGATGCTTGAACAATGATGTTTGTCTGTTATTTATTTATTTCTGATGAGATTTTTGCACAATGGAATGATTTTCACACAATGGGGGTTTGAGAGAGTTTTGTGTTTTGTGTTTTATGTTTTGTGTTTGTGTTTGAGTTTAAGTGAGTTATTGAAATGAGAAAGAGGAAGAGACAACACACATATTTGTGTTAAAACGAACTAGAGATGCACTTTCGGTACCTCCCGTAAGTGTATTTTCAGTTTATTTCTGCATGACATATGAGGATTCTTAGTCTAAACTATTGTCTATAGTTGAATTGTTTATAGATATATAACTACTGGTCTCCTTGTAAATGCATTTCTCGTTAGTTTCCGACTTTTTTTATAAGGTCTTGTCCATCAAAGACTTGACTTAGAGTGTTTTCACAAATATATTTCTGATAATTAAGAATATTTAAGTATTTTCACGTGATGTACTAGAAAAATTTATGGTGTATTAAGAAATCCTCTTTCATTTATAGTTAAAAATTTAATTTTAAATTTAAATTTAAGTTTAAATATATAGTTAATTACTACAAATATGTTACTTTTTAATTTTAATCTCTCTAACTGTTTGTCGGATTTTGGTCTCTATAATTTTAATTTTATATTAAAATTGATCTTCTACAATATTAAAATATTTAATTTTGGTTTTTATGTCACTAATATTGAAATAATTTAAAATTAATATTCTATATATTATGAAATCAATTTTAATATAAATAAATTTACTAAAAACTTTTAAAAAATAATAAAAATAAATAAAAATATTTGTCAAATTAAAATTAAATAATAAATTAAAATAAAAAAGTAGTATATTTGTATGTATGAATAACATATTTAAACCCTTTTATTTTGGTAAGCAACATATTTAAACCTTAAATTTATTTCAAAATTATTAAACTTATAAAAGTGACATGAAATTAAGAAGTTGTATGTTGGTCCCATAGTGACCAAAACTTTCTATTTCCAGCATTACAATAATTTTACAGCGCGCATTATAATAATTTTGCAGCGCGAATTATGCAAGTCAATATCATGTACGAACAAATTGTCAAAGAAAAGATCATGGACGAAAAACGATCTACCTCAACAGTCTAAACTCGGAAATAAAAATATTAATCAATGTTGCATTTACTATTGGTTTTATGAAAAAAAATATGCACATTCGGTGTATTTTACACTGACGATTAATTAACTGCGTATATCACATCACACTTAAAATCTAAAAATATTCATTAAACCTTAATTAATTTTAGGATAAGAAAGAAAAGAAGACATGTCACGTGATTAATAGTTAGTTTAATTAATCTTTAGTGACACTAGTACTAAGAAAATTCAACACCCTTTTCTGTTGAGTCACCGACACAAAAATCTTCACCTTTCTAAGCTTCTTTTTCAACTTTTCTGATTACCATTAACATCACCACTTGTTTTTCTCACATTAAGAATGCCTCTTCGTTCGTATTTTCCTCTTCGTTGGGAAAGCACGGGCCAACAATGGTGGTACGCATCACCAATCGATTTAGCAGCATCAAACGGCCACTACGATCTCGTCATCGAGCTTCTCCACCTCGACACAAACCTCCTCATCAAACTCACTTCCCTCCAAAGAATCCGCCGCTTCGAAACTCTCTGGGACGACGACGAGTCACAGTTCCACGGCGTCGCCAAATGCCGCTCCCACGTCGCCAGAAAACTCATGCTCGAATGCGAAACCGGAAACAGAAACTCTCTTGTTAAAGCTGGATACGGTGGATGGCTTCTTTACACTGCTGCTTCTGCTGGTGACGTGGATTTTGTTACTGATTTGTTGATAAGAGATGGTTCTCTTGTTTTTGGTGAAGGTGAGTATGGTGTTACGGATATTTTGTATGCTGCTGCCAGGAGTAAGAATTGTCAGGTTTTTAAGATTGTGTTTGATTATGCAATGTTGAAAAATAGTGGACGAGAGTTGGATTTGGATGAGGTTTTTAAGATTGATATCGTTAATAGACTTGTTCATGCCGCGGCTAGAGGTGGTAATTGGGAGATACTGAATCAGTTTCTTGAAAGTGTTCATGACGTTTTAGTTTATAGAGATTCTTATGGATGCACTGTTTTGCATTCAGCCGCGGCTACCGGACAAGTTGAGGTGAGTTAGATTATTTCGAATAACTCATTAATTTAGTCTCTAAATTATCATTTTATCTCCAATTTAGTACTTAAATTTTGGTTTATTTGTGTAATCGCGGCCAATTGTTGTTGAATCGATCGATTGTGGTATTCTTTGGGTACTTTATTTTAACATATATCATGGTAATGATGTAGGTGGTGAGAAAGCTACTTGAATCTTTTGATATTATCAACTTAACCGATGATCGCGGGAACACGGCGTTACATGTAGCTTGTTACAGGGGTTACTTACCTGTGGTAGAGATTCTAATAGATGCATCTCCTTCACTGGCACTGTTAACCAACCATGATGGTGATACTTTACTTCATTTGGCAGTGGCTGGTTTTAAGAGTCCTGGTTTTTGTAGACTAGACAAGCATGCCGAACTCATGAAGCAATTGGTAAGTGAAAAGATTGTGAAGACACGAGATATCGTTAATGTTAAGAACAACGATGGAAGAACTGCTCTTCATGTATCCGTGATTGATAACATCCAAGTTGAGGTAGTGGAATTGTTGATGTCTTTGCCTTCAATTGATTTGAACATTTGTGATGTTGACGGGCTGGCCCCTTTAGATCTTTTGAAGCAAAGGTCACGATCGACGTCTTCCGATTTTTTAATCAAAAGGTTGATTTCTGCGGGAGGGGTGAATTGTGAACTTATGTCGAACAATTCTGAATCAAGTTGTACTGTGAAGCCGCTGCAGAAGATTCAAATCGGTGTAAATGGAACCAGTCCCGGTACTTCATTTAGAATACCAGATGCAGAGATATTCCTGTACACTGGCATTGAGAATGCATCTGATGCCAATTATGTCCAAACAAGTCCTGAATCACATTCCTGCTCAAGCGAACTAAGTAACAACTCTGATGGTGCCAATTCTCCATATAACAACAAATCTAGTTCTGTTAATAATGCTGCAAGACGCTTAAAGTTTCTTCTAAGGTGGCGTAGGAGAAAAGACCGAAAAGCAGCTTTCTCAGATTTGGAAGATGATGATTCTCTTGATCCTTTTAGTTCAAGTAGAAACACGGATGAGTTTTCAATCCCATTAAGGCAAAGATACTCACACTCATGTTCCTCCCTTAGAACACATTCTATAAGGAGTTTTCTTCCAAGTCCATCTTCCAAAATGAATTTCGCTACAGGCCTCATCCAAGGAGTAATTCAGCTAAACCCACACGTTTCTCTTCCTGCTCATTCAACTCCTAATCTTTTTCAAGAATTGTCGGTGGTTTCTCTTTCTTCGATCAATAAACAAAAGAATCTTGATATAATTGGACCCTCTTGCTCAAATCGATTGGACTACAAACAAGATTCTTTCAATAAGAAATTGATGAATCCCTATCTTTCTTTTGGAGCACAAGGCCTGATGAACATCGAAGATTCAAATAGCCGTGAATCAAATCGGAGTTATAAGCGTTTCAGTTCGTTAGTTGCATAGCTAACTCTTCTCACTTGTCATCAACTGAGTAAGAACATGATGATAATATATTCTTAGCTTGTAATGACAATTTTGCAAATGATTCAATTTTTTACCACTTTGTCTATTTTTAGTAAGAACATGATGATAATATTAATATATGTGTACGAGAGACTAGAGTTGACGTTTTTTACTACTATGTCTATTTTTAGTAAGTAAACTCAGCCAAATTTAGATTGTACGTAGCTTTTCTGATTGGACAAATCAGTTGTCAACTTCGATTCTATGTCAAAAAAGTTCCTTCATAATGTCAATTAAAACAATTTTTTCCACCTAATTAAACAATTTGAGAATTACATGTACCCCACTTACAATAACTCCACACACACACACATGAGTGATGATCCGAAACAATTCATCCAAAAAGAGTAGTTTGTGGCTACAACCATGTAAGACACTCACGCTACAGCAACAAAAAAAACCTGACCTTTTTCTAATTATAACTATTCTCTGTTATATAAATGAAATTAATTATACTCATAAAAAAAATCATTAACATTAATTTCAGATATCAGAAAACATACATTAAGCATTCTTAAGGTTTGTGTGTGTAACCTTATTTGTCTATCCTCGACTCTTACAAATCAAAACTATTGTAAATGTTCCTTGAAGTAAAGTTTTAAGGTGATTGGAAGAAAAAAAAGACATGGGTGTAGGTGATGAAAGAGGGCAACCGGAAGAAAATAGTAATGTTGATCCAAGACAAAAAGCTATTGATGATTGGCTTCCTGTAACTGCTTCAAGAGAGGCAAAATGGTGGTATTCTGCTTTTCACAATCTAACAGCTATGGTTGGTGCTGGTGTTCTCACCCTTCCATATGCTCTATCCAATATGGGCTGGTAAATAAGACACTTTTTATGAATTCGTAAGAAAATAAATATTATTGCATATAAGTAACAACAACAATGAAACATGTGGAGCAGGTCAACTTATGAAGTTTAGCATTAGATTGTAACTATATTAAAGGGTGTGATAGTTTATATTCTATTTTTAAAACAAAGAGTATATGATTATTAATTTATTATTATATATTTGGTATAAAACTATAGGGGAGCTGGAGTTACCGTTCTTACTCTATCATGGGTGATTACATTGTACACTCTATGGCAAATGGTTGAGATGCATGAAATGATTCCTGGAAAGAGATTTGATAGGTATCATGAACTGGGACAAGAAGCCTTTGGAGAGAAATTGGGCCTTTGGATTGTGGTTCCACAACAAATTCTTGTTGAAGCTGGCACATGTATTGTGTACATGGTCACTGGTGGTAAATCATTGAAGAAAGTTCATGACACTCTTTTGTCCTGATTGTAAAGATATCAGAACCTCATATTGGATTATCATCTTTGCATCAGTCAACTTTGTTCTTTCTCAATGCCCCAACTTTAACTCCCTTTCTATTATATCTCTCAGCGCAGCAGCTATGTCTTTGACGTAAGTAATCAAATTTTATTTATAAATGAAATTTACGATGAGGGGATAATGCTCTAGTTCAATGTAGGTTTATAGATGATAGGCTCAAATGATTGTTTATTAGCATATTTTCTATTTTAATTATGTTATGTCAAATTTGTCTGTTTTAATTAATTTACCAGATACTCAACCATAGCATGGGCTGCTTCACTTAAAAAAGGGATTGTCCCAAATGTTGATTATGGACCAAGATCAACTTCAACTGCTGATTCTGTATTCCACTTCTTTTCTGCATTGGGAGATGTAGCATTTGCTTATGCAGGTCACAATGTGGTTCTAGAAATCCAAGCAACTATGCCCTCAACCCATGAAGTACCTTCCAAGAAACCCATGTGGAAAGGAGTTGTGTTGGCGTACATTAGGAGTTGCAATACTGCTACTTCCCAGTTGCAATCATTGGATACTATATGTTTGGTAACTCTGTTGAGATAACATCCTCATCTCACTAGAAAAACCTGCTTGGCTCATTGCCGCGGCTAACTTTTTTGTCGTTATCCATGTTATTGGAGGCTATCAGGTGAATTCATTCAATTTGATTTACTCGTTACAATGCTATTTTAAGACATAACTACAATTTTGATCTTAGTTTATAAATTTAATTGTTACCTCCGGTGGAGAAGGATAATTAATTGATCTAGTAACTATACTTATTATTAGCATTTTATTTTTTGTCAAAACAGGTATTTGCAATGCCGGTGTTTGACATGATTGAGACTGTCATGGTTAAGAAATTACATTTCCCACCTACTTTTGCACTCCGATTTTCAGTTCGCAGTATATATGTTGGTATGTTGTATACTTTACTCATTGAACATATGGATTAATGTAAGTTTCATCCTTTGGGTTTTAGTTAACTTTTTAATCCTATTTTGCAGCATTGACTATGTTCATTGGCATATGCATCCCATTCTTTGGTTCACTTCTTGGATTTCTCGGAGGATTTGCATTTGCCCCGACAACTTACTTTGTAAGTAAAGCCTTTTTTTTTTCTTTCTATACTTGATGAATTTCTATAAAATGTTTCAAATTAAACATTAACAAGGAAATGTGTTGCAAATAACGATATATTGGAAAAAAATGATTACAAAATCAAAGTATTATCCTCACTTATCTATTGTATCTTTCATTCTTGCAGCTGCCTTGTATCATCTGGCTTAAACTCAAGAAACCAAGAAATTTGGCTTGTCTTGGACAATTAATGTGGTATGTTTATTTACTACATAAATGAAATATAAGAAAAACTAAGGTTGAAAATAAGATATATTTGGCTTGTCTTTCAGTTTTAAAGTCTCTTATTCAATTAGCATGATGCTTTAATTAATTTTGTCATGTATTTTTTTTCTTTCAATTTCAGATATGCATTATTATTGAGTCCTATTAATGACACTATCTCCAATTGGTGCTTTGAGGAATATTATTGTACAAGCCAAGGACTACGAGTTTTTCTCATAAACTAGGGGAACAAAATATCAATTTTTCTCTGCTCATTTAAAATTGATGGATGAAACGAAGTACAACTAGATAATGCATGCACAACATAGGGTTGTACAATACAAAGTTATCGCACATATATGTGTTATAACTTGTTTATAACTTGGTGCGGTAGCAATTTACATGGTTAAAAATAATTTTCATGCCCCACGAGTTTTATACTGTGTGGGTATGATTCACATAGAACAACTAAATTGTAATCAAATGCTACATCAATAAAATTGTTTGATGGTTAACATTGTTATGAATTGTTTTTTGTACCATTTATTATTGTGTAAAATGTAAATGTATGCTACTAATATATATACATGGGTAAGAGAGAACTTTAAGTTGAAAATATTATAATGATTTTCTTTTAAAAAAATTAACGAACTATATCATAATAAAATTGGTCATTAGGTGAAAAAAGACAATAAAAATATATATAATAAACATATTAGAAATTATATTATAATGAAACATGATAAATACAATTTAGACTTAATATCTTTTGAGAAAATAGATGATGTACTGACAGTTTAAAAAAGTTGTACATTCTTAATAAATCACAATTATGAATCTCGTCAAATCAGACTCTAATTTTAAAAATATTTATATGACATAACAAAAATATATATTTCTATCGGATGACAGTGTAAAAAAATTTTACACGGCAAATATATCTCTTTTAAACTCATGTTTTTTAGCGTATCTCAACCTCAAAGTTTAATTTAGCCCCTTAACTAAAAATAATAATTTTATTAAACCCTTAACTCTTCAAAATATTTTATAATTTTTTTTTAATTTTATAAGGGATAAAAAAATTTAAAAATTAATCGTTAAATCCATAGTTTAATTAAATAAAAATGACATATAATACTTTTTGAAAGTTTTAGAATCAATATTAGCCTTTTTCTTTTTCTTAAGTTAAGAAATTAAAATAAATCCTACTGAAAAGATATTAAACCTTATAATTCAAATTTTATTGTAGTCCTAAATGAAACTCCTCGTATTGCCATAACAATGATTTGAATACATACATTATTTTCGCACAATTTTTTTTTCCTTTCTCAACAAAGAAGACTTCTTAGACAACCAACAAATTACTAGAATCGATTTTTTCTTGTGTTTTAGTAATTTGTTTTAGGTCTCAATTATTGTGCAACACTTGTATAAATGTTTTGGAGACATTTTCATATTTGATTAATGAAAATCTTCTCTCTCTCTCTCATCTCTCCTCTCTTCTCTCTCTCTCGTCTCCTCTCTCTCTCTCTCTCTCTCTCTCTTCCTCTCTCCGTCTTCTCATCCTCTCTCTCTCTCTCTCTCTCTCTCTCTCCTATCTCTCTCTCTCTCTCTCTCTCTCTCTCATCTCTCATCTCTCCTCTCTCTCTCTCTCCTCTTCTCTCTCTCTCTCTCTCTCTCTCTCTCTCTCTC